TGATTGGAAATATTTGTCCCGGTTTCTAAAATAAATTTGACCAGTTGTTACACAAATTACGAATTAAGGATATTATTAAGATAAAGGATATATAAGTTTAGTTTTATTTTTTTTTTTTAAAAAAAAAAATAAAGATTAAAAAAAAAAAAAATTTAATAAAAAATGATTATCAGATCTATTGTGTCACAAATTTTAAATAAGTAATTAGTTTCAAATATTTTTTCCGCTGCCAAAAATAATTTGAACTGCCAAAAATAATTTGGACTGCCAAAAATAATTTGGGTTGCCAAAAATAATTTGGGCTACCAAAAATAATTTGGGTTGCCAAAAATAATTTGAGCTGTCAAAAATAATTTGAACTGTCAAAAATAATTTGGGCTGCTAAAAATAATTTGGGTTGCCAAAAATAATTTGGGCTTTGAACTTTTTTGACCTTTGAAGCCCAAATAATTTGGGCCTATTTTACTACCCAAATCTCAAATTATTTTGAAATTTGGGCAGCATGTATATACGATAGTAGATAAGTGATATGGTTATATTATAAAAATAATAAAAATTAGAAGAATTAGAAAATCAAGTTTGAAAATATATACAGTACTTCACAAAGGTATTGCAACACTAGACTTTTTGTCTTTAAAAATTTTATAACCTGAATAAACAATTTTAGAATAATAGTTACTATGTTTATTTTAATCTTTGAATTTTGAAAATTTTTTTGAAATATTTTTAATATCAAATTATAATTCCAATTTGATATAAACAGAAGATCAATATGATAAATTGTCACTTAATAAAATTTCAATTGTGAATAAAATTTTATATAGAATAGTTATAGTCAAGATAATTAGAGAGTTGATAGTCCTTTCTAAGAAGAATAGACATATCAAATTTTATAACAATTAGATCATTAATTATTAAGAAATTAACTTTTGAAAATTGAAATTTTACTAATAAAAAATTTTTTTAATTATTTTATTAGTAAAATTTCAATTTTAAGAGTTAATTTCTTGATAACTACTAATCCAATTGTTATGAAATTTGATATGCATATTCTCTTCAAGAAGGATTATTAATTCATTAATTATCTTAACTGTAACCATTCTATATAAAATTTCATTCACAATTGAAATTTTATTAAATGACAATTTATTATATTGATCACCTGTTTACACAAAATTGAAATTATAATTTGATATCAAAAATATTCCAAAAAAATTTTCAAAACTCAAGGATTAAAATAAGCATAGTAACTATTATTCTAAAATTTCTTATTCAGGCTGTAAAATTTTTTAAAAATAAAAAGTCTAATATCGTAATATTTTCGTAAGGTACTGTATATTGAATTAATTGATATTCATTTAGAGATAATATAAAAGTTTAAATAAAGTAATATCAAAGGTATAGATGAAATTTAAATATCAAAAAAAAGTTTCACCTTCAAGAAAAAATTATTTAAGATATATATATATATATAAAATAAAATTATGCTTTAGGAAGAATAGCAGATATAATAACAATTTAATACTATGTATCTCAACTTTAATTGATATTCAGGTATAATATAAAAGATAAAAATTTGGTACTATGTATCTTATCCTTAAGAGATATTCAGTTATAATATATTAAAAAATTATTTCAGATATATATATATAAAATAAAATTATATTTTTAAGGTGACAACTAGAAATGATCAGTTCAATTAATCTTAACCTGGCTCAATTAATTGTGTCCTGGCTAATTGATTTTGTTCTGGTTAAATTCTAGCTCAATTAATAAAACCAGTTAAATTTTAACTTAATTTAACTATACTAAACTTTATTACAATTTTTAAAATTCTCATTTTTTTTTTCTCTTTCTCTCTCTTACAAAATAAAAACAAATACCTTTCTTTAAAAAAAATACTTTCTTTCTAAAAAAACAATTAAAATTTTCAATTTATTATAAATATTATAATAAAAAATCAATTTTATAATTATATCAGCCAATCAGAATTGCATCAGAATTTAGCCTTTGCATCAGTATTTAGCTATTGTATCCAATTGCATCAAAACTAATCCCTAAATTCAATTGGCTAAATTAAATCTGATTAAATTCCTGGCTTAATTTGTATTGTGCCTTCCATTTTACAGATATGATAACAATTTGACACTATGTATTTCAGGTTTGATATATTTTTTGTCATCTTAAAAATCTTCTAAGTAGAAATAGATATTTTACTATGTTTTGCATTAGGACCTTCCAAGTAGAACCATTTTGACACTATGTGTCTCAACTTTGATTTTTATAAAGAAATTAATTAGAAAGTTAGAATATTATATGTTATACAAGTCAAATATAAAAGATATATCATACTGAAAAGGAATTTTAATTTTAGCTAATTTATAATAAGGATGCAATAAGATAATTAATTGTTATCAATTTTTAGCTGATTTATAGTATAGGAATTATTATTTGATACAGTGATTCTTTTGTATTTAACTAGTGCAAGTTCAGACATAGTCTTTATATCAGGTTTATAAATGACATATAAAAATATTCAGTTTATTAATTGAATACTTATTGAGATCAATGCAATTGTAAACTATAAATCATCAAAATCTCACATTTGAGAATATAAACTATACACTATATGAACTTTACATATTAATCTGACAATGGAATTGATTACAATTACCAATATGATAACTATATATTTCATAGCAAATTACATAATTAACATTAATCTGGTATATGTGAATTTATATAGTTAGTAGACTATGAACTTATCAGTGATGTAAAAATCAATTTAGTCATATGACAGTTCATAGTATGTGGGTACTAGTAGTAGACTATAAACTTGTCAGTGTTGTAAAAAATGATTTAGTTGTATGACAGTTCATAATCTAAGTTAAGATGGTTCATAATATATATATTATGAACTGTTTTAAACTATTAATATTTTCTTTAGAAACTCTAATCTAGTGGTTTAAAGTAAAAGGTCATTATGAAAACAGAGTAACCACATTTGTGAATTTTCTTATCTTCTTGATGCAATTAAAACAGAGAAAAGTGGTACAGTTGCAATTACAGAAAATATTAGTTTATTTTCAAACTTTTTTAAATTAATTAATATGACCAATCATAGTGAATGAAATTTCTGATAAATAGCTTGTCTTTTTAATATTTACCTTTAAATAAATATTGGTCATAATTTATTCATCCATTCAAATACCATTTATCAAGTAATATCAGAATTGGATGGTTTTTTTATCAAACTTTTTGAATACAACAGTTTTTTTTATCTAAATGCATTTCAATTATATTGATGATATCAAAAATGGTATTAACAATCTTTTAATTTATTTAAAAAGTGAAAAAGCAACAATAAATTTCATGGAGAAGTATGCTTTTACTCATTGCAGTGACTTTAAAATATCAACTAAAGTAAAATCTTTTATTTTGGTTTTTATCCATTTGTAATGTTCATAACTTATTTATTTTTTCTTCATCATTCAGAAATAATTTATGTGGGAAGATATGGATTATTTAAGCCAGGAATAAATTACACAAATTCAAATAGAGAGAATTCCTTTTTACTATTAATATTAATGAAATCAATAAGTTGTTTTTTGTTTTTGTTTTTTACAGATTTTGTTGTTTGTAGATCTCTCAATGGATATCTAACTAATGAATCGTTCTATGTGTATTTCATCATAAATGAATTATGATACTTTTTACAAAACAGACAATATAATCAAGAAAATTTTCAAGAATTTCTTAGAACAAAAAAAAATAGATCAACAGGCATTATTCTTGTCATTTTGATTATTTTACATTAGAAGAAAATGCTCATTTTAATCCATTTTTATGGCATATAATTCAGTTTGTGTACATATATATACACATTTTAGATTTATTTAATTTTGTTTTATTATTATGTTCTATTCCTGCATAAGATATTGGTTATACATGACATCACGTAATAAACAAAAATTTAATTCCGTATTTTCAAATAAATAGAGAGGCAAAGTTCTACTGTCTACTTTACTTAAATCTATCTAAAGCCGTTAATAAATTAATTATTTTGACAGTTAAGGATATTTTAAACTATCAATTTATAGTTTATTTGTTTTTGTTTTATATTTGTTACCGATTCTTAATTGATTCCTCAAACCGATTATAATATACTTTTTACCCTCTAATCTGTGTTTCATTATGCCACCCTCGCATAAACATTTCCTTTTTCCTTTTTCAGACCTTGCATTTTTATTTAAATATAGAGTTATTTAGAATGGTGAACTAATGAAGGTTGGAAATAGTATCATCAATCCATTACCTTATCAAGATCGAAATAATAGCTAAATCGATTGAAATTCAAAAAATAACTATCTAAAAATCTTTTTTTTATTTTATTTTATTTTATTCTTTATTTGTTCTCAATAAAAAATAATGACAAACCTGTTCTAGTTTAGGTAATAAAAAGAACTTGAAAATTTAAAAAGTTTTTACACGAGATGTTTTATTGTGCTACGGGTATGGTAATTTCTAAAAATTTATTTATTTAATATGTAACACTATGTAAAAAACAACGCCCTCATCTTATTATAATATCCATTAATAGTTGTTATTTGACTTTATTAGTTAATAAATTTTATGCTACTGCTTGATAATGCAACCATTCGTGATAACCAAATTTATTTGTTTTGTAATCACAAGATGGAAAACATATGAAATCAACTCTATAAAAAAAAAAACTCAAAATTTTCATTCTAAATTTACTTATAAGTAATTATATATAAAAAAAAAAAAATTTAATATTTCGATCAATCAAATACTTAAAGTACTTAAAAATATTACACTAAGTTCAACTACAGTTTTTATATTTAAAGAACATGGCAAGAGAAAAAAATTCCAAGTTCTTTAAAGTGCATTTTTATATTCATTTTACTAATGAATCAAATTAATATTAAATATCGTATCGAATATTAAAAAAATAATTTAAGCCTTTCCTAATTTAGAAAATGTCGCAAACCGCTACTACAAAAAGGTAAAATTTTTAAAAAAATTAAATTTAACAAACAAAAATCCTTTTATGAATTCATATTTTGTATTCAACTTTTAGAACTTCATGGTTTGAAACGATCAAAGATGCGCTTGTAAATACTTTTCAAAAGACTAATACTGATGTTAGAGAAGTGTTGCAAACTGCAGCAAAAAGGGTTGAAGATATAAAAATTGATGACGTAATTTTGGCTTTTAAAGATTTGAATGATATTGTTCTACCAAGGTTAACTGATACCACTCTTTATCCTGAACTTGAATGGGATGCATCTGTGAGGTTATTATTTTTATTATCACTTTATTATCTTCGTTATCATCACTTTATTATTCGTTACACGCGCACGTGTTATTATCATATTATTAACTAACGTTATTGTCAATAATTTACAGAGCTTCAATTGAAATATGTGAACAAGAATTAAAATTTATTAAAGATAGAAGACAAATTATCCATGAAAATTTTGCAAAATATGTTGGAGTTGATGTCAGTGAAATTCATGAAGATGATATTCCAGTAATGGCATTTATGGGAAGTGGTGGAGGATTTAGAGCTATGATTGGTGTTGCCGGTAATTCTAAATTATTTAAAATTATTATTATTATTGTTATTAATTAATTAATTATTTATTTATTTAGTAATTAAAATACTTTAACATATATTTTATTTATTTTATTTTAGCTTATTTTAGTGCCATGAAAGAATCCGGGCTTTATGATTGTGGAATGTACCACGCAGGTATGAAAATGTGGAAAATAATTTTATTATTCTTTCTTTATTATATTATTCCTCTTAATCATAAATTTGATTTTTTTTTTTTAGGTCTCAGTGGTGGTAGTTTATGTTTAGCTCAACTATTTTCATCAAGATGTCAATCAACCGAGAATCCACTTCAGACATTATTGGAATTTTATAGAACTAAACTTTCCTCTAGTATTATTAATGCTCATGGTATTTTACAAGGACTTGCTGATACTACTAATCAAAAACTTGCTGTTGGATTATCATTTGGTTCATTAATTCAGAAAAAAGCTTCCGGGGTAGAATTATCAATTATGGATATTTTTGGTGCTTTATTAGCAGCTAAACTTATGGTTAGAACTGATCCCACAAATCAACTTGGGGATTTTAAATTAAGCGAACAACAAAAATATATTGAAGGTGGAAAAAGTCCTATGCCTCTTTATGTTGCGTAAGTTAAATTTATCAAATTTATTATCTTTTATGTCTTAAATGCTGTATTTATATAAAACATCTAACATATAATATCTAATATCCATTCATATATATATATATATATTTACATTTATATATATTTATATATTAAAATAGAGTTTCTCATATTCGTCCATGGAAAGATATTCTTGAACCAGAGGAAGCAGCATTGATTCCAGATTATGATCAAGTTTACGAAGCACATATAAAGAAGAAAGATTACTATCAATGGTATGAATTTAGTCCTTATGAAATTGGATCCGATGAACTTCCAGGTTAGCAAATATTTCATTAGCATTTTTCATTGATATTTTCCGTATTTCTGTAGAATTTAATTAAACATTTAACTCATAAATAGATAAAAAATTAATATTATTTATTTATTTATTTTTTTTAAAAAAAAAGCATGGATTCCTTCTTGGGCATTTGGTAGAAAATTTAAATCTGGAAAAACTGTTGAACGATTCCCTGAACAAAACTTTTGTTTATTAATGGGGTTAGTTGAAAGAATATTTTTGTAGTTGATAATCATATTATATATTATTTATATTTATTATTTTATATTTATTATTTTAGATTATTTGGTTCTGCACCAGCTGCTCCATTTATAGAAGATCTTAAAGAGATAGCAGTATTCCTTCCCGAAGGAAAAATTAAAGAACATTTTAAATCTGCATATGAAAATGTACGTAATTAACTTTTTAATAGTATTATTATTTAATAAATATTAATCATTTCCATATATATATTTATATTATTTTATTTAGGCTCTCAAATCACTTGGAGATCAGAATCAACAAGTAGTTGAAGGATCTCATCCCATTCCACCTCCCCATAATCACAATTTCGCTTATCGTGTTAAACCACCACCATATAAACTTGGACATACTAATAATGAAGTACTTGACCTTCTTGATGCTGGATTATCCAATGATTTTCCTATGTATCCAATTTCTCATCCAAGTCGAAAAGTTGATTTAGTAATTGGATTTGATTGTTCTGCTAGTGTCATTGATCATAGCAATTTTGATACAGCACAAGACGCATTCTGTACTCGTCGAGGATTTAAAAGAACTACTCGAGATGAAACTAACAAATATTGTGAAGTTTTTGATTATATACCAGTTGGTAAAACTGATGATGAATACCTAACTCCAGCTCAAAAACAATTCGTATTTTGTTTATTGCAATATGTACATAACGATAAAGTTGATCCAAATTTTGAACCCGCTATTGCTGATTTCGCTACTTTAAATAAGTTCGCTTATACAACTGAAAATGTTGATTTAATGATTAAATTAGCAAAACAAAATTGGAAGGATGGTGAAGAAAAGGTTAAAGAAATTGTAATTGATACTTGGAAGAAAAAGAAGGAAGCAAGATTGAATGGAACTGTTTTTCCATAATCTTTCAATTTCTTAGTTTATATATTATTGATATTCATTTGATTTACTATATATATATATATGTTATCAGTTATAAATGTAAATATTTTTTGATACATTCGAAAAAAAATTCATATTTTAAATTTTTTCACTATATTATTGCTTCGAATTGTCATTGCTTAGTTATCCGATTTTTTGAGAATCGCTAGGCCGATAAGATGATTTTAAAATATCGTTTGAAATAAATCATTTTATTGATTATTACAAAGAATGCAATCCATTTATTTTATTCAAAAAAAAAATTTTTACTATACAATAAATTATCGATCTTTCCTCTTTAAAAATTTCAAGGGTGAATTCTGGCACAACGAATAATTTAAATTGCACAGACTTTTTTTAAAAGAATCCCCAGATCAAGGGCTATCGTATGATATCTTATTTATTCAAATTGGATGCCTTCTCGTTTTAAAATCTTGTCTTAAATAAAATTAACCAAAAATATAAAATTAAATTATTAATCGTAATCTCTTTCGATTTCAGTAATTATCTACTGGAAGTGCTTACTACATTATAAGAAGTTGTAGCTCTATACTAAATATACGACTTTAATTAGTACCGTATTTTATGTATTTTAGTTAAAATAATAACTTTACTTAGACACGACTAAATTTATTTATTTATTTTATTTATTTATTTTAGCAGACTGGCGCGATCTCATATAGTTTTCTATAAGTATTACAAAAAATATGGTGAAATTGTATTAGCTAATCTAATGATACCACTTAACCTACTGCCATGTAAAATTAGATTTTACAATTAGTAAGTTTCAACCACTATGCCCCACTAATATCTATTCTTAATAAATTGAAAATAAACTTGTAAATTGAGGTATCTATCTGTAATGAGTAATCTATTGCTATATTTAGAATATGATCTTTGGATTTTTCTATTTGATTTTTTGTTTTTTATAGGTTTCTTTATTTTTTTCCTTATTTTTTGTTTTTATATTTGGGAATTCATTAAGTTTCCTTTTTATTTTTTTTTGCTCCTTTGTTTTTTGAATTTGGTTATTTCTTTCCAACCATAATTCATGGAGTTTTTTTGTTGTGGTCTGATATATTTTGAGAACTTTTTCTTTAGCTGTTTTCCTGTCTGATTCTGTTACTGCTGCTATTTGGTCAATTAGTTGTTTAGGTATAAGTCCTCTTATTATATCACTTAGGCTGAATTTTGAATCTCTTGCTGTTTTTCATGTATTTATTCTGTTTGGGTCAAAGGAGTATAGTCTGTTTGTTATTATTTTTTCCCTTATAAATTTTCTAATTTTATTATGATTGATATTAAGCTTTTTTAAGTGGTTTCTAATTGTATTAATCCATATCTGTTTGAAGTTTTCTTTGTTAACTTGACATGTAAAGATACGAAGTGTTGATTCTATTTGTGTTTTATATCTTAGACAATTTGAATTTTGATATATTTCTTCTTTGAGATTATTTAGTCTTGAGTATATTGGTAGTTCATCACATATTATTTTTATTTTAAACATTCTTAAACTTTGGTCTATGTTTGATGTTTCTCCGTTTGTTAGTTTTGAGTGGATTAAAGCTTTTTTTGTTACATTCCAATCTACTATTTTTTCTATATTTCTATTGAAAGATTGAATAAATCTAAGTTGTGTTTTCCAGTTAATTAGATTTTGGATGTTAGTTATATCTTTGGTTAATTCTTATATTGGATTGTCTAGGAATTTGTTTCTTTTTTTTAGTTAATAGTTTTCTATGAATTTATATTCATAGTTAAGGTCTACAATTGTTTTACTTATTGTTCCTTTTTGTGCTAATTCATCTGCTTTATCATTTAGAAGTATTCCTATATACACTTTTATTTGATTAATTTTAGGTATATGTTTTTTTCTATTATTGTTTTTTTTATTATTAGTAGTAGGTTTGAATTTTTATAAATTTTTCTGCATTTTCTTTGTTTGGGGTGGATGAAATTGGTTATTGAATCTATTGAACTTTTTTCCTATAAAAATTATAATAATCAAAATATACTTAAAATATATTTAAAATATATTTAAAATATATTTAAAATATATTTTATTAAGTATTTTTTAAGCATATAAAAAACTATTTAAAATATTATTATTTTATAATCAAAATATATTTAAAATATACTTAAAAAATACTTAATTTAGGTAATGAGTATGTTTTAGGTATATACTTAAAATATACTTAATTTTAAATATGTTTTAATAATATTTTAAGCATATTTTAAGTATATACTTAAAATATACTTACTCATTATCTAAATTAAGTATTTTTTAAGTATATTTAAAATATATTTTAATCATAAAATAATAATATTTTAAATAATTTTTTATATACTTAAAAATATTTAATAAAATATATTTTGAATATATTTTAAATATATTTTAAGTATATTTTAATTATATTTTAAATATTTTTTAAATATGTGTATTTCTTATAGGAAAAAATATATCAGGTATTCAATTTTTATCAGGTGATTAATAGATCCTTGACATATTTATATTATACCTATCAGGAACATATTAGGGATCTATTGATTACTTATCGGTCACCCCAATAGTTATCCAATTGACCTTCGATATATACCTGAAATATAGATTTCAATCTGTGCACGTACCTGATATATCAATTTTAACTTGTGTAATATTTATAATAATTAAGTGAACGAATCTCAGGTGAACAAAAATATATTATCAAATAAGAATAGCAAAAAAAGAAAAAAAAGTTTGTCTATTAAGAAGACACCTGATGTACCTAAGTTAATTAGAGATGTGTCCATAAATAATATACTTAGAGGTTTGGGTTTTAATGAAAAAATAGTTATGGCACCATTATCGTATACAACACAGGTCAAAATTCAAATATCAGATATCTATCAGGCACCTATCGACCTCCTGATATTTTCAAATATCGGTCGATTATCAGGAAATCATCGGGCACATGAAATATTTTTATATATATCGAGTGCCCGATATCTGCATTTTTTTTTAAAGGCCCAATAGTACTTTTGTAAATTTTATAATGCGCCCAGTAACTATGCGATAAATTTTATTTTGATCTCAGGCACCCGATATTTTATTAATATCGGGTATATGATAATAAATAGTAATATCAGGAGCATGATATTTTTTAGATTCCTTCAGGTATCTGATATTATAGTAATATCATGAACCCGATATTCTTTTTCTTATCAGATGTACAAGAAAATTTTTTATTTTAAATTTTATATAATCTATCAGATCCCTAACACTATATTTTAATTAAACTTAATTTGTCTTTATGCAGTATATACTTAAAGTTCAAGTTTTCTATTTGAAGTTTTTTATTATAATATAAAAAAAAAAATAAATTAAACATTAAATCTTCTATTCAATGGAATTATTGATATATAATTATTCCTATTCCCAAATCAATAGTCTATCTTAATGACTCTACCATATATTCTATGCATTACAATAATTGAATCTTGACCTTCCTCATAATATTCTTCTTTCCATAATTCTGTATTCGATACTTCAGATGCCATAAACTTATGCTTAAATCGTATATTAGAGGAAGGTACATTTTTATACTACTTGACATATGTTAGAAGATGTGTTTTGAGTTTCTTCGTTGGAAGTGTAAGTGTATGCTCAAAGTAATATTGTACCTCTCCAGAATAAATATCACTTGTCCTATCTCTAAACACATTTGACTTAGTTAAGATCACTACATTATTTTTATGTCGATCTGTGACTTTGGACACAAATATTTCATTACCTATTTTTAATCTTGCATGTTAGTTCATAGTCACTTCCATACATGCTTTCACATCTTTTTTTTCTTTGTTATATAATGTTGTATACCATTCGCATAATATTTTATAGAGTTCCAATAGAATACTTACTTTTTTATATAAAGGTACTAGCATTTGTCCTGATATATTTTCAGTGCCATAAATCTTATTGGACGTATCATATCTCAAGGAAATGAAATACTGTAACTCTTCTCTATCAAATTCATTAGTTACAGCTAAGCTACCAGCAACTTTCTTTAGTGCAAGAAATTGAAGAAACTTCTCCAAGAGACCAGATGTCCATTGACAGGAAAGATGATAATTCACAAGCGAATTTTTATGGACTATTTTTATAAGTTTGGGTTTGATCTGCTGATTACTATTGGGATAAGAACCTATGAAAGATTTGTATTAAAATTTTATTTACTATAATTCATATATTTGATATCTATAGCTTACCTATATATCCATTTAATCGCTCATATGGAAATAGCCAAAAGCTATAAATAGAGCCATAATCCCGTATGCATTCAGGAACATGCATCGATAAATGGATATTACTTGTAATGAATTCAGTAGTGGTGGGATCCATTTAAGACTTATCTGAATATCTACGTGAATATCCAGATATCCGAATAGGTAGTTTGGTAAACGGATAATTTTTCTAGATAAACAGATATCCGTTCAGATCAGCAAATTATCTAAGCTGATCTGATTTAAATATTTGGTGAAAAAAAAAAATCTTTTAAATAGAATCGGTTGAATCGAATAGAAGTGGATGTATTTGGGTAAGTGTATTTTTATATTATTTCTATTTAATTTTATTTAATTAAAAAAAATTAAATTAAACATAAAATAAAATAAAAAATATTTA